TCCCCCTTCTCTTCCATATCCTGATCTTTCATTTCCCACTTTATTCTCTCCTGAACATCAAAAGGGAGAGGTGCTGAAAAAGTGAAGTTAGGAAATGTACATGATTTTACTGTACCAGAAAATATGACTTTTTTCCTTTTCTCACACAGGTCTGTTACAGAGGGTTTGTCTCACTACAGATGGAGATATTTTGTTTTATCAGCCACAATTATCCAGCAACAGAACTGTAAAATTTATATTTTAAAAGGAGTTAACTGAACAGAGTGAGGAGTGAAGGAGAGACATATACAGCTCATTTGCACAACCTATGTGTGTTAAAGCAAGCCCGAGAAAAATATGGAGGACATTGCAGCCTGAGGTTCACAGCAGATGCAAAGGAGATTGTCACTGATTAACTTCTAGATAGCTCTGTGGTTTAGGCAGAGGTTGGGAATTCAATTAAGGGACATGGTGGCACTGCAGGTTAAACTGCAGAAGCCTCTGTGCTGCAAGGTTGGAAGACCAGCAGTCGTAAGATCGAATCCATGCAACGGAGTGCCCTCCCGTCGCTTGTCCCAGCTCCTGCCAACCTAGCAGTTCGAAAGCATGTAAATGCGAGTAGATAAATAGGTACCACCATGGTGGGAAGGTAATGGCATTCGGTGTCTAGTCACGCTGTTCACGTGACCACAGACACTGTCTATGGACAAATGCTGGCTCTACAGCTTAGAGATGGGGATGAGCACCACCTCCTAGAGTCAGACACGACTGGACTAAATGTCAAGGTGAACCTTTACCTTTACCAAGGGAGTTCAATTCCCCACTGTGCCTCCTTGACAGAAGCTGGACTCTGTGATCCATAGGATCCCTTCCAGATCTGCAACTTTAAGATTATAACTTGTTGTCCCTCCCACAAGGTGATTTCCTCACAGATATGTGACTATTTAGCAATCAGACTTGCAGCTAAGCCTATCTTTACTATCCTGAAAATAATCAGAAAATACACTAAATGTGAGATACAGAGGTGAGGAAAATCAAGTGGCATGGACAAAATTCATCACTTGAAGGAGCAGCTCTTCTTTTCCTTTCTTCTTTAAACTGACTAAGTGAATCACCTAGTTTGACGTTGACTATTTTTGAGGAAAATATTCAGTCTGATCCTCTGCATGGTTATTAAATGGTCACTGACTCCTGAGTGAGACATGTACATGGCACTACAGACTTAATAAGTAAGCTGTGTACCCCAGCCCACTCTACCAATTTGGTGACATGTTCAGCCCAATCATATAGAGCAGGCTTGTCCAACCTGCGGCCTGAGGGCCGCATGTGGCCCAGGTTGGCTCATAATCGGCCCAGTGCAATTTTTTATTTTTAAAGAAATTCCAAAGTTTCAAGTTACACTGGCGGTGCTTGCGGCCAGAACTACCCCAGCCCACTCTAAGGGAAGGTAAAAGGTTGGACACCCCTGATATAGAGTGTTTGTCATCTGTGTTTGTTCCTCCTTCAATAGACTTTAACCTTAGTGTAATAGAAAGGCACTTGGTGCATGCAACAGAGATACTTTCTCCATATATCAAAGCTTTGCCTTAGATTAAAACCAGACTTCTTGACAAGTCCTGGTGATGTCTTGGAACAAATTAAGTTATGTGGAAGAACAGACAGACAATTTTACCACAATAAGGAAATAATAGGGGAGAGATGGTGAACAAAGTTCATTTAAAAAAGCTTTTAAGAGCTTAAAAATTTTTTTTCTCATCTTCTCCCCTATCTGGTTGTAGTTCTGGCTGTAGTGTGCCTGTAACAGGTGTACTTACTGCTGAATCTCTAGAAAAGAAATGGTGAGGCTTTACTCTGTGTGGGAGAAATGTGCAACATTCTAAGTATACAGGTACTGTAATGGGAGAGTCTTGCAGTTCCTCAAGGAGAAGATAAAACTACACTGCAAAAGCTCAAATGACACTTTCATTTAACTTATTTTTTAACTTAAATCTTAACAATGCAAATAAATTCTATTAATTCTCTCTACAGAGACATATAAAACAATACATACACATTCTATGCAAATGTATATCACAGGCTTCTACTCCAGCACTTTTATATACATAGCAACACCCCTTGCTATAAGGTCACCAAGTTGGGAGATTTCTATGGACTTGGACAACTTTCGAAAACTAGCCTGAAGAACCTTCAGCTGCAATTTTAAGTGTGATTTAATTGCAAGAGCTTGAGTGGATGCTTCTGCTTGCAAAAAACAGAACAGGTGGAATTGCCCCTGCTGTCACCTGCAGAGGCTTTATGCAGAAGGAGGAAGTGTCTAGGCAATTCAGCAAGCAATGACTCTGGGAAAAAAATAGTTTGCTGAAAGCTTTTAATGTTTTTCAGTGATAACAAACTAGGTTAAAGGTAACTGCCTTCAACATTCACTGTTTGGGATCTACATATTGTTAGATTCAATGGTATGGTTTCTGTTGGATTGTCTGGCAACCAACTCTCTCTGTGCAACATTCAAAATCCCCTCTAGGTGTGCTACAAAATGTTATTCCCAATCATGTACCAAATACAGTAATACTAAGCTAAGCCTGTCATCCCTTCCTCACCACTAGAGAAAAATCTGTTATTAATGCAAGCAAGGGTGAGCACTCTAGAAATGAAGAGAAAGGAAAGATCATGATCCCTATCATACAGTAACATAAAAAGAGCTATAGAAAGAAAGGTAAGAAGATATTCTTGCCAGCGCTTTTGAACTACTGAAGTCCATTTTGTCTAGGACAAAGCTCTCAAGGCTTTGCAAGACAAAACGTAAATATGTATAAAAATCTAGTATGATATAAAAAAAACCCCAGCTATTGCACATGTACATTGATCAAGAAATACACAACAAAGACATCAACAATATTTCTCATTCTGATCTGGAAAACATGTATTCATTCATATTTCCAGATCAAACCAGCTAGGACAGCTAGTTCCACCATTTCTGGCAAAAACCACTTACCCAAATGACATCCCAGTTATACAGTATATTATATGTATAACAGTTATACAATATGAAATCAAGAAAGCATCTAAGATAGTAGCAATCTATTAGCCTCCCATGCTGGCAACAGGACCTATCTTGTCCTTATAATAGCCGGGTTCTGACAATGTGCCTTTGACAATCAAGATCACTATTTGCACGTTTCTTTGTACAGTTTTCTCTGCCAAGTTGAAAATTAGGGACAGAGGTCAGACAAAAATGTGCAAGCAGATATAGGAATATGAATCTCACCGTTTCTCTCTCTTTCTCTCTCGGAAGGAGAAACAGGAGGGTGTCCTCTCCTCTTTGCAGGAAGTCTTTTTTTTTCCAAACAAAAGAAAAATGAAAAATAAAGACAACAACAAATGTTGTGGCATCTTAAAAACTAATTTCTATATTTTAATGTGACTGTTCGTGGACAAATCCACTTCCTCAGTCTGTGAAAACTTGACACACCTGTAGTCAAATGAGCAGCATCTAGTGTGATCCCCCCACAGGGACTGAAAAAAACACATTTCTGACTTTCTTGAATGATGTAGAACTTCACCTGAACCACTGCCAGCTGCTCCTGTTGGCGACTAGTGAGGTACACACTCATATACTAGATCAAGTCCACTGTGTAATGAAAGCACCCAAATTATCATCACATTCAAAAGTGCATTATTGATCAAGCATTCTGAATGACTTCTCACAATTATTGCTTCTCATGGATGATAACAAAAAACTATTTTATTCATTATTGCCCTTCAGTCATATCCCAAGGGCACTTTAGTAGAACAACTGAAATGTCAGTACAGAAAGCTTCCGCCTATATCCAATTGCCAATCCCAGCTAGAACAGATCCATTTGGTCAGTGGGATTTACCCAAGTGTTGATTTCACATGCAGTAATTAAATGTGTTTACTTTTGGTGGAACTAACAACAGGACATACGTTAATATGATGAAAGTAAAACAAGAATGGATATTGCACTACCATGCAGATTCACTGACCATACACAGAGAAAAGACAGGCTGCAATAGGTAGGTCCTACTAGCTCCATAAAGTTCACATTCATGAAGGAACACAGATGTATTATTACTAACAACTTAAAGAATTTTGGATGGTTCAGCTAGTAGTAAGTCAGCTGCAATCATGAAAAACTGTAGGCTAATTGCAAGCATACATTGGTTTCTATGTCCTGATATAATGGTTGCCTCAAAATTGTACCTCCCTGTATTTAGAAGACCTCTGTACTGGAAAGCCAAGAATTTACAAAGCATATACTGTAACTTGCCTCTCAAGTAATACTTGATATGACAAACACCATCTAACTGCCTTCATCTGTTTCTGTGCATTTTTCCCCTGGGGAAAAAACTATCTGTCAGTAGACTGTCTCCACAAACATGAAACCACTTACAAGCCTGTAAAGTAACAGCAAGCTCTCCAAAGTTCTGTAATTCAAATCACTCATTTTGCATCCATAGAAGTCTATGTATAAGATTCCACAATAATAGAAGTGTGATGCTCATGTTAAGCACCTTTTAGAGGTACAAGGTAAACAAGCTGCAACATGAAAGGCAGAAGCCTAAAGGCAGAGTTTAGGATGGCTTCGTAAATAAATTGCTAAAATACTGGATCAACGGCTGAATAGCCTCAACGCCTATGAATCTTCTTGACTCAACAGGTCTACTCTATTTGGAACTACAAAATTGGATTCAAAACTAAAAGTTAGGCTGATTCAGACATGTGCATGCCTTTCCTGATTCCATATTACTTCATTACATACAGCATAATGTGTGAAGAGCCTTCACGGAGAATTAAGGTTTTGGAAGCAAAATGCAGAGCTCCAGCGGTGATGCTGAAAATGTGTGTGAGAGAGAGAGAGCGAAGGGGGAAGGGAGAGGAGAGAGGGGGAGAGAGAACCACTCTACCAACATTATGGCACAAGAATATATGTAATAATTAATGTATGATATTGTTCACAGTTTACCTTCCTAGCACAGCTATGGCGGGCGTTAAATCCTTACCCTGGCAGGTGTTGTTCTTCTCTTCATACCCCGCCTTGCACATGCATTTTCCAATCGGCACCAGCCACTCCCCTTCTGCACTGCAGTGCATCCTTGGTGGTTCATCAGTCACTGAATGGTTCACACATGACCCCAAGACTTCCAGCAGTTGTGAAGAATCTGCTCCAGTTATGGTATCGGGAAAAATGGCTAAGTTTCGAATGACTTCAGGGCACTTCTTGTAATACACACGCACAGACACCAGTGCAATGCAGGCTCCCACATCCTGGAATGCTAGATAAAATCCCTTTTTGGTCAGAGGCCCAACATCTCTGACTTCTGTGTTCAGCTTCATAACTCTGTCTCCCAGGTCTAATTCTGTAAAACTCTCATCTGCAGCGATGGTATCGATTTTGATGTACTGGTTTTCTTTCACATTCCTCCCGTCTTCATCATCAGTTTCAAAATAATACATATTAAATGTCTCTTTGCAAGTCCCGAGACCTCCAGGAAGGCTGTTACAGTCCCTAAGAGTAAATTTCAGTTCAATGAAGATCCGAGAAGCCCCTCGGTTAGATATCCAGCTTGTGAGGAGCCAGTTGTTCTGACTCTGTTCCATCACTCTGCACACTTGGTAAGTGTGGATTGGTGCATAATTTTCATCCACTTCACCAATTTCTTCCCACTAAACAATGGAGAAAGGTGGAGGGAGGGAGAGAGAAAACATATTTTTTAAAAAAAACTTTTGAAATGTCAAATGACAATCTGTTAGCCTCCACTAAGCTAAGTCTATGCTGATCTTGCTACAGAATCTTCTATTAATAACAAGGTAAAAGTAAGATCTCATTTTATCATCACTGCTTCCTACATCACACAGATGATCTATAACATTGATAACTTCTCATACCTCTTCTGAAAATTCCTAGGCAAAAAAATATTCTTTAATGAAAGACATAATAATTAGACAGAGTAAGTGCCACATGGTACTTATCTATTTACTGTATTAATTTAGTTTAGTTTATTTCTAACCATCTTTAGCTTATATTGCATATATCAACTTACACAAAACCAGGAAAAAAATCTATTTCTGATCTTCTTCAGTAAAGAAGTATCTAGACACCTGGCATTGTTTTTCAAGCTGTCCATAGATAGCTGGGTTTCTGCACCCCTGCCATTAACTTTGCTTTGCTTTCTCATAACTGAAGAGATAAGCTTTAGATCAAAAGTCAAATCATTTCAAGGGTCTATTAAAATATTACATTCTCTCTTTTGACATTCTCTGCATACTGTTAAACAAGCTGTGAGCTGCAGAGTGGTTCACAATAAGCAAATTGCATGTGTTTTGAAGTTATGCTCTCACATAACTGAAAAATATTCCTGTTGTTTCCTATTTTGTTTAATTATCCTTTTATGGTCCACTAAACTGTAATGATTTCTTCTATTCTCATGTTGCCTTTTTCTTTTAATATTTAGAGCAAGAATTCATCAATAATAAATATGATAATAGAAAGCAGTTCCTCATTACAAGGAGCATTTCTCACCAAAAGTGATCATGCACATATTTAAGAAGCCTCCAGGTGATTCTAGTAACTCTAAGTTCCCACAACCCCTTCAGTCACTTTAAGGAGAGTCTTCTTCTAACTGACTGTCAATGATCTGTCCACCTGATTTCTCTACACCATCCCTTAGCAAGAACATCTGTCATGTCCTGGAAATAGCTGAAGGTATGGGTGACACAGTTACACACACACACACAAAAGTATAATCTGGGGTGTTGTCAGGGCTGGACAAGCAGAATTAGTCATGAAAGCCAACTTGAGGCAAGGAGAAGTTCATCACCATGACGACCATGACTACTTAGCATTTCAGAGTGCTCAAATCACTTCACATATGTTATTGAATCCTTAGAAACTACATAGCTCAGTATAATTATGTCACAGATAAAAGAGGTACTAAACCTAACGTAAAATATTTTGCTGGGGATCTAGTCATATTGGCAGATTGGAATGCATTGTATTTTAAGCTTATATTTAAAACAAATCAGTACGGTACTGAGATGACACTAACTGAAATAACTGTTCCACAGTAACATTAACAAGATCTCTTAAAAAAAGAAAAGAAAATGACAGGTTAACAAACTACTCTGGGGAAACAATGTCCCATGACCTAACTCAGAAATATTCACAGAGAAAGGCAACTACTGGCCATATATCACTCAATGGCAGGTGCTGAAGGCAAAAAACAAAAACAAAAAAAAACATAAAAGTTGCCAACTTGATGCCCTTCTCATAGGCTTACAAGGTACAAGGTGGTAGAAAGCTAGAGTTGGAAATGCCTAGTCTAATGGTGTTGGTTGTTGAGCTGCTCTCAACAAGTAACAAATATCTGCAGCACAACAGAACTGAAGCAGTTTCCATGACTTCTCCTACACACTAAAAACAAAAGACAAACAAGTATCAGCCCACCCTGTTCTGTCATCTTACTATAACCATCCTAATTATCATTATAAAACATGTTAAAAGACCTAAAACCAAGACACGAAACTGGTGATTCTTTATTTTTACTAAGGTAAGATGATCAGTCAGGCCATGAATCCTTGTAATCAATTAGCGAGCTTGTGTTTTGTTTTTCCTTTCTTTTTTAACCTTTTTATTTCAGACTAGGAATGGGGTAAAGGGTACAAAGGCTAAAAGGGGGAGGCGGGGCTTGCCATGGTGCCGGCAGCAGCTCCCGGAGAAGCTCCTCGGGAAAGCTGGAACCATCTGGTCTGGAGCCCCTCAGAAGATGAAGAGCCAAAGGGGAGACTAGGAGAGATACCCCTGAAGTAGTTGGTGAGCAACAGAGGGGAGGAAGCTGGGCAGCAACCTAGTATTTCTCCCATCTGAAGAAATCACCTCAAGCACAGATTGAGATGTGGGAGCCATCTTGGCAGCTTGTTTGTGTTTTCAACAGGGGTCAGCCAAATACCTCTGGAATGCAAATCCCCAGGCAGGTGCACATCCTGAAAGTGACAGCCCATAGTAGCCTGTTGTTTCCATCAGTTGGTATTCAAATATATACCACCTCTGAATGCAGACATTAAACATCACAGCTAATACCTTTTAGTATATCTGTCCCATAAGAATGTATGCTGGCTGAAAAGCTCAGAGGTTAGGTATCTGGCTATAGAGCCAGAGCCTGGGAGTTCAGTTTCCTGGAAGTAGGCACAGTGGGAGATCAAACTTCCAAGTTCTGGCTTTGCGCAAGCTGCACAGTCCAAGGTTGCCCCCAGAAGAAGGGAATGGTGAGCCACTAATACCTTTTAGTATATCTGTCCCATAAGAATGTATGCTGGCTGAAAAGCTCAGAGGTTAGGTATCTGGCTATAGAGCCAGAGCCTGGGAGTTCAGTTTCCTGGAAGTAGGCACAGTGGGAGATCAAACTTCCAAGTTCTGGCTTTGCGCAAGCTGCACAGTCCAAGGTTGCCCCCAGAAGAAGGGAATGGTGAGCCACTTCTAAGTATTCTCTACTCTACCCGTATTAGTATTCTCTACCTGAAAACCTCTGAAAACGGCAGCCGTAAGTCAGAATGGACTTGAGAGCAAATTATGATGATGATGATGATGATGATGATGATGATGATGATGATAGAATGTAAACATATTTAGAAATAATTTTTTTAGTATTTTTTAATTCATTTTCTGTTGGGTCAAGGAAAGGTCATAGGAAAGGGGATTTGGAATAAGGTAATGGGGTAAATAAAAATACAGAATACGATAGAGAACAATATACTGTATATCATTATTACTTTTACTAAATGTTCTTGTCATTGGAAGCTGCCCAGAGTGGTCGACCAGACCAGATGGGCAGGATATAAATCAAATAAATCAATAAATCAATAAATAAAATAAATAATATATTTACTTACTAATCTTACTTTATGATATTTTTACCAATTTTTTTCTAAGCCTCTAAGATCTACAATTATGTCTTCTTTCTTATAATTTTTACCCATTCATATTCTCATTTCTCATCCAATTGTACAAAAGTCACCATTTTTTTCTAGCTTCATCTATTTCCTTGTCTTTTAATATTTCAGTTAAAATATCCATCTCTGCTGATTCTAAAAAAGTTATATTAACATTGTTGTTAATAGACTGTTGGAGTTTCACCTTTTAAAAAAAGTAATTAACACATACTGTAGGTAGGACATGATTACATTAAAAGAAACTATGTTACACCAGAAAGGTTGTTACATACAGTTCAAGTTTACTCAGTACCACATGAATTGGTGATGATATAAATGAGCTACCGTATATGCCGCCGTATTAGGTGACGGGCCGTATTAGACAACCCCCCAAAAAATGCGGTGCCGGGAAGAGGCTTGGGGGGGCAGCGGCAGGAGGAGGAGGAAGAGGAAGAGGGGAAACGCGGGTGGCGGGCAGGCAAGCAAACGCACGCCGCTTCCCTTCCTCCATCCCTTCCTCCCCGGCCAGCGCGGCCCCGCATCACTCTCGCGGCAGCAGCAGCGGCTCCCTCCCTCCTGGCGGAAGGAGGAAGAGGAGGAGGAGGAGAGCCCTCATTTCCTGCTGAAACCAAGAAGGCAAGGCAGGTAGAGAGAGAGAAAAAGGGAGGGAGAAGCCATTGTCTCTCTCTCTGTGTGTGTGTATGATGGTGGGGCTTGGAGGGAGGAGTGGAGGACAAAGTTTTCCCAAGGAAAAAAAAAAGGAGGCGGGGCGGGAAGACAAGATGCTTTCCTCCCTCCTCTCCCCTTGCTGGGCTTGTCTAGAAAAGCCAGCTTGGTGTGTTTAACCCCTATCAGCCTCTCTTGAGGAAAGCTGCCGAGATGAGAGAGATCTCTGGGGCAGCTCCCTCCCCTCCCCGCCCTAGATGGGGAGAATGACACATTCGCCTCACTATCTACCCACTATCTGTCCTACTTTGGGCACATCCCGAGAAGGCAGGATTTTCTGGAAAAGCCAATCAAGCTGGGAAAGGTGGAAGGTCGCAGGGAAAGAGGAAGAGCACATGTGAGATGGATTGATTCCCTCAAGGAAGCCCCGGGCTTGAGTTTGCAAGAGCCGATTGATCAGGGCTGTTGAGGACAGGACCTTTTGGAGATGGCTCGTGCGCGGAATGAAAACGATACTTAGAGATTTTGTATACCTTGGTTCCAATCATCAGTCCAAAGGGAGACGGCAGCCAAGGAATCAGAAGAAGACGGGGACTTGGAAGGGCAGCCATGAA